ATTTGACTACCAAGTGTCATTTAAGGTTCACATTAAGACCTGATGCCATTCTGCAATCAAGTTAGAAAACAGCATGGCATTTCGAGAGTTCACATGGTTAAATATATTGCTATTGATTTGTTTTGCATGATTAGGAAATTTTATTCAATTGTAAAATAATATTTGGTTTGCCATTTGGCAGCTACATGATTGTATTTACAAAATATACAGGCAAATATTACTTTCATTTACAAAATCACTTTTAAATACAAATTAATCTCTAATTTATTTCATCTTTGCAAAGAGGCCCTAATAAATATATAAAATGAAATGAATTTGATTACTTGCCGAATGAATTAAAGTTTTGTGTCTTGTTCTGCACTTTATTCTGCAAATGAAATGAAATGGAATAGGGTCATGATTGAGTTATTTTATTGTCGTCAGCTATTGAAATGAAAAGGGATTTTATGTACTGTGTCCGCAAAGAAATAAAATGGAGTTTTATATACTGTGTCAGCAAATGAAATGAAATGGAGTTTTATATACTGTGTCAGCAAATGAAATGGAGTTTAATATACTGTGTTTTCAAATGAAATAAAATGTTTTATATACTGTGTCAGCAGATGAAATGAAATTGATTTTTTTTTTATATCTTTCTAATGAGTACATCATGGGCTTATGAAATAAAATGGATTCCTTTGCATCTTATAAAGCCCATGAAATGAAATAGATTTTCACAAACATCATACTACTGTTTTGCATCTTTTGGTTAATGAAATGAAATGGGATTTTTTATAATCTATAACATATGAAAGTGATTATGAATGAAAACAAACATGCCTTATATAATGAAATGATTAAATTGTTATAAATATAAAATGAAAGTAGACCCTAGACGAGTTTTAGGGTCTTTCTTTCTTTTTAATGGGTCGTTTACTCATGTGTTTATTCACAATTTCCTGGATTTTAGGTTTGTGGTCTAAAACTTTCAACATAGACGACTTCGCTTCTAATAACTGATCTACCAATAACTGGCATCTCTGAATATTTGCCTGAAAAAAAAAAGCTCAATTAGAAAACTTTGGCACATCAGGGTTCTTAATTAATTTCAATGAGTGGAGCTTCAAATAGTCATGATGTAATAGATGTGTTTACGTCTATATCATGCCCATTTAATATCATTTTCATAATCATGGCATATATGGAAAGACAAAGCTAAACCAAACTCTAAGATGCACTTGCCATGGTATCACAAATTTTCAAGTTTAAAGGGGATTCAAACCCCCAGCACCTAATTACCTAGCAGATGAAAATCCAACTCACTACCAACTGAGCACTAAAAAACAATAGGGATGGTAACAAACAAATATTAGGATATGAACTGCAATTTGACCAGAATTTTTGAACTTCTGTTAAAAACCAGAGTAAATATAAAATCTCACCTGTGCCATTTCATAAGGTTTATTGTAATCATTCTCTATTTTACCACCAGTAGGTATTTTAGGTTCAAATAAATGTTGATATTTGGTTACTCTTTCACAGATCTCTTTCTCTAGATCAACCTGAAATTTAATGCCTGAAATTATTATCTTGATCAAATATAGAAATACATGTTAGTAACCTCTCTACAGGAGGTGATAACATTGTGGTCTGAATTTACTTAAATCAAGAGTTATTTCCCTTCCTATAGAAAACTTTGCTTGCCTCATTTGA